CAGAACATAGCATCTATGGAGAAACCTGGCAATCAATCAGAAATCAATTTCACCAAGTTTTTGCATGGAGTTCAAACCTACATTTTCCCTTTACTAAACGGATGAATTGTACTATGCTTTTTCTCCCAATTCAACCAATGATCCAAAAATCTTCCTCAATTTCTGGATCCTTCATCTGCAAATTCCTCTTCTGTGACCACCTATTCGCAGATCAGATATTTGGTTTTATAAGTAGCTAAATGATGATGACATTCCTAAATAGACTTATCTCTGCTTTTGGGACCAAACCCCAAAGATATGAAAGATGAAAGTAGAAAGGAATTCAAAATGTGAGAGAATGTAAGAATGTAGAAGAAAATAAGATCAGGATTAGGAGTCTCAGGGAAGAAAGAGAGAGAAGAGAAACAGGGAAGATAAACTTTTGAGTGTCTGGTTTACTCAGCACACTTTACAGTATCTGAGATGGCCAACTAGTGTCTGAAAGGCTGACTATTTGATTTGGCTTGAAACATTCAAATGTTTGCATCATTAAAAATTTTCATACATATTCCAGTAATCTAGCCTCTCTAGATAAATCAGATAACTTGACAAGACTGGACCTGCATTTCTACAGGGCTATATTGACAGGGTTAAATTGTAATTATGTGCTTCAGACAAGCTATGCACTTTCATTTAACACACAACTAGACCCTTTTAATGTACACGTAGCCTACTTCATTCATTTCCTTTGCTTTGATTGCCTGGCCCCATAGAGGTTTGACTACACTAAACCAAATCACTAAAATGTCATTTACTCATTTATTCAAAAATATTTGCTAATAATCTAGAGCGTGCAAAATATTATACTAGCTGATCCAGATTATATAAAAATCCTTTAAAATATGGGTCTTGTCTTTAGGGAGATTAGAATGTAGAAAGGGAAATAAATGAGCACAACATCTGCCGTAATAAAAGTAGAAAAAGATTAGCATTTCCAGGGATGTTTTCACTACATAAAAGAGAGAGACTATATTTCCAGTTATATTATCGCCCCTTGTGCCTATCTTTATCGCAACACTTATCAAGAAAGCTTGATGAGAGAGAGTATAATCAGAAGAGAAACTTGGTAGACAAATGGGTAGGTAAATATATATTTATGGAGTTATGTTGACGAGGTAAATCTTATTATCTGTCTATAAGATTGTCAGTATTAGGCATTAGATTCAAGTAATTTAAGTTTATACATATATGTCTATGTATATAATGTATATATGTGTGTATTACATTTATATGACATTTACATGGTCTATACAAACATAGAGATTATGTTGATAATCATCACTGTCCTCGTATGTATATAGAAATTCCATCGTTTTATTAGAAAGATCTCTAAGATTTTTAATAATTACATTGTACCCTCTTCTATGCACCTAAAAAGGCATTTGATTATAATAATAATAATAAATAATGTTTACTGAATAATTATAAAGTTCCAAGTACCTTACACAAATTATGCCTTTTAATCCTTACAAACATCTTGTAAAATTATCTCCAGTTTATAGATGTGGAGCCTGAGTCTAAGAGAGGGTAAACAACTTATGTCAAGAAAGAAAGTGGCAGAGCCAGGATTTGAATCCAGATTTATATAGCCTCAGAGCTAACACTACTATGATATATAATGACTGTATTTGCAATAGCAACATTTTTTTTTTATCAATGGGAAGGGACATTCAAACCCAGGGCCATCACAACTGGACTAGTCAAAGACACATACATTCTCATCTGGTTTGTTAAGTTCTCTTAAGTCTCCTTCCTAGAAATTAATAGCGCCTCTCTCCCTACTCTGAATTCTCAGCTGAAAAATGTACAATAAAGTTTAATATGTTCTGTGACCTGTCCTGTAGAACATTAAATTACTTACTTGAAATAAAGAACTGCATCTTAATTCAACCTAATGTGGCATGTTAAATAAATGGGAATTTAAGTAAAAAAAATAATATGTTATATTAATCAATTAGGTTAGCAAAACAGTGTCTTTTATGATATTATTCTTAACAAAACAATAAATGTCACCAGTAATCAGAGGTCTAACCATGGTGGCATCTTTAATTCATCACTTTTCACTAATTTCTACATTCAATTAAACACAAGTTCCATCAAATCTTCCCTTTTAGTCACCTGCAAATCAACCTCCTCTCCATTCCCTTTTATAAACTTCATACCATCTCCATCTCTCTCCATTTGTTGGAGTAACCTCCTGTTTGGACTTGACTTTTTCATACTGCAATTTCAGTGATGTTTCTAAGGCTTAAATAAGAAAACCTCACTCTCCAACTTAAACCCCTAAACCTTACACAATCTCTAGGGCTTGTTAGATGCCTCTGCTCTGTATTCTCAACCCCTTATGCCTATCTTTATCATAACATTTATCTCACTATACTGACCATTTACTTATTTTTCTAGGACCTCAAGTTCCTGAAAGGGAGGAACTACCCATAAATTATATAACTGGCAGTAAATAATTGTTGAGTGAATACATAAAAAAGAAAAAGAAGTTAACAAACTTGACACTTAAAACATCACATTAAATACTTTAAAAGAGACAAGAAAATATATACGTTACCACACTAAATCAATTTAATTTATCACATGCTCTAAATATGACTCCAGGGAACTGAATTTGCTTCCTCTAAAATACATTATTATCCTCATTATATCACATTTGGGAAAAGGTAAATAAGGGTACCTCTGAAAGAAATGTAAAATAATGCATAATAGAAGTCAGTATCTTTGACAAAAGTATAACCTAATTCTCATTTGAGATCATTTTTTATTGAATTTTACTCTAAAATCCTCAAGCCATTTTTTTTTTATCCTTTGGTTTCCTTAATTCCAGTAGGGTGCTCAGTTTTTAAAAATTGAACATACAGAATTGAACATACTATAATAATGTGATCTATTTTAAATATATAAAAACATACATATTATGTTATTTCTTTTTATTCAATTAAATAAACTTTTAATGTTTGTAAATTACTCTTCCCACTGGCATTTTGAAATACTGTACGTTAAGATCAGATCCCTCCAGTAAATGTGTTCAAACCTAGATAGGTCATCTCTTAAAGGAGATGTTGAGGAAGGATCTTAGGCATATAAATGATTGGCCTAGAAGCTTCTTTAATTCCTTCTGAGCCTGACATACAATACATACAATACTACCTGTGTATTGTAATCTTCCATAAGGCTTGAAGGCAATTTTTCTACAAATCATCTGCATTGTAACAAATTCCTACATATAATACAGTAGATTAAAATAATTCTCTTTCAAATATACATTCTAATATAGATACATAGCATGTCTTCCTTATATAACTTCTTGCCTTGTTTCCATTTAACTCTATGTATATGCAAAGAAATCTTAAGGAGTTTGGAGATATGTTCCAACATTACTATCATTTGCCTAATTCTTTTTATTTCCAAACTCACCTTATAAGTAAGGTTACTTATCTCACTGTGGGATGTGGTTTTATGTGCTCCTGATCTCAATTTCTCTTATATCAGACTATTGTGTTGTGAAATGGAATAAAAAGTATAGGTTTAAATATATCATTTAAACCTATAAGTTTAAAGTGTTATATTCAAATCATTTTCTATTTTGTATATTTCTTATGTAAAGAAAGATTCACTTATGTAAAACCTGTACTGTTTAATATGTGTTACATCCTGTTAAATATGAGTGAACAAATAATTGCTCTAAGAAAATTATGTGTTGACAAGGATATCTATAGATGGAAGGAAAATGGACCTTGGGAAACCACAAATCTGGTGCAGGAGATGTCCTGTGGTTCAGAGCAGGACTCATTCTGTTGCAATTTTGGAGGACTCAAATTCTGAAACAACTCGAAATAAGTAATTTATTAAGCTAAGTATGTATTTAGGATAGATGAATTCAAACAAAAAAATAAATTAGTTATGAAGGAGAGCAACCAAGACAGAAAAAATATTACATTTAAGGATCAATCATGAAGGGTTAAATTACCTATAAAGAATTTCCCTCAAACAAAAAATATTAAAATTTTAAACTTTAAATATTAAAATTATAAAGTTAGATTTTAATTAGTCTATGGAATCTTAGTTTGAGAAAGTCTCTAAAATATTTGATTCATCTCACTGTATAAACATGAGAATTTACCTAAAGAAAAGATGTTATCTTTTGATATTTTTGTTTTCTTTTCTCTAAGGAAACCAAATCAATTCAGAAAAATTCTCTTGTGTTTTGGTTTGGGTTTTCAAGTCTATTTTTATCTTGATGGAAACTTTCCTGTATAGGAAAACAACCATTTGTTTTATACCTTTTCTAGAATATAATAGAAATATATTAATACATCAAAATTTAGTGGTTTTAATTTTCAGTGGCCATAAAAGGTTTTGTAAGTATTAAAATGTACTTATAGCTTGAGTTATTTTTACATATGTGATCAAAACAACATATATGTATTTACTTATGTTAGTGATTATGAGAAATTGTATTGAAAATGTTTCTTATAATGATAAGAATAGTAAGCTTATGGTTCCTTGTTTAAAAGAGGCTTTGCTGACACCTACAGCTTGATTTAATCCTTCGTTTTATACTCCAAAGTTTTTGTTTTGTTTTTTTCCATCTTGGAGATGTGTACTATGGTTAAATTTGGTTTGAGGAAGGGAATGACTTTCTTTTTCTTTTTCTTCACCATTTCTATTCTTTCTAAATTTTATTCCAAAGGAAAAAAAAAAAAAAGAAAGAAAAGAAAAGAAAAGAAAAAAATGGGATGAGGTGGAGGGACTAAAATGTCTGTGAAGAGTAATCATCATTATAATATTCATCTGGACAGAAATATTGAGGATCCAGTTCAGTTAATACCAGCTTATTTCCCCAACTACATAAGTTACAAAGTCAATGCTTTCTCAATGTGGAAGAGTAGGACAGATTTACACTGAAATAGTGCCCCAAAACCAAATGTTATAAAATTATTGATTTTGTCTCTATTTATCTTTTTTTGTTCTTTTTCTTTCTTTTCATGCTCAGCCTTAGCTTCTTCTTCTCCATGTTTTTTGATCAACTGATAACCATCTTTCCACTTTTTTCTTCACTTTCTATTCTTTCTAAATTTTAGTCCAAAGGAAAAAAAAAAAAAAGAAAGAAAAGAAAAGAAAAGAAAAGAAAAAAATGGGAGGAGGTGGAGGGACTAAAATGTCTGTGAAGAGTAATCATCATTATAATATTCATCTGGACAGAAATATTGAGGATCCAGTTCAGTTAATACCAGCTTATTTCCCCAACTACATAAGTTACAAAGTCAATGCTTTCTCAATGTGGAAGAGTAGGACAGATTTACACTGAAATAGTGCCCCAAAACCAAATGTTATAAAATTATTGATTTTGTCTCTATTTATCTTTTTTTGTTCTTTTTCTTTCTTTTCATGCTCAGCCTTAGCTTCTTCTTCTCCATGTTTTTTGATCAACTGATAACCATCTTTCCACTTTCTCTTGTTAGTGCAGCAAATTCCACTTTTTCAGCAGAGAGTTGCTAACATCCATGGTTTTATTGATGACTTTGACGGCTAAAGCAAGTGCTGACTTCAGAGTCATTTCTCCTTATTTGTAGTCTTGTTTCAATATTGACACAACTGCAGCACTGTTATTTCCAAAGCATGTGGCATTCCATCCCCCATAATTTCCGCATAGGGTTGCTTCCATAGAGCTGAAAGTCATAGTGCTTATCCCAGTCAATGTACAACAGTGAAACACCAAAGGAACATATTTCCTCAAACTGTGTATAAGCTTGTTTGATATCACACAGTGCTGTAACCAGCTGCTCACAAGGAAAAGCTCCTGATACTGTAATAAATACTGTTGAACAATGAGCCTGAGTTCATTAGTCAGAACATTAGTATCAGAAATTATGCCTGCCACACAGTAAGTCATGTCTTCATTGAATTTATAAATATATCAGAAAAAAAGACTTCATCAAGAAGCTTGCGGATGCTGCATCCCTCTGCTTCAAGCAAAACACTATCGTTTGCTGAAATTCCCAAACAGGTGCCTGCATGTCTAATCGCATCCACAGCATATTCAATTTGGTACAAGTGACCTTCTGGAGAAAATATAGTGGTCCTGGAGTCACATCTTCGAGACATGTTTTCTGAACTTTATAACTACAGAGAGGAGTCACTGAAGTCGAGGTCTACACAGAGTGCCTAACTCCACAAGAGAGAACCACTGCCTCTGCCCGAGGGTCCAGCCAATTGCCTTTATTTTTCTTTAAATGAAGAGGCTGTTACCGTGAAAGAATAGATGAAAAAGGAAGACCAGCCTTGTACCTCCAACATGTGTTCTGAGTACAACAGTTTAGAGAAGAGTATGTTTGAAAGCTGAGTATCTGTATATTGATTTCTTAAATAAACCTGTCTCAGCCCTTGGAACATCTTCATGAGCCCCATATATGTACCTATCCGTTTGAAGACTGCTGCTATTATAATTTAGTGTTAAATATAACTTTTTGTTACTGTCAGCCTTTGAAATGGATGCCCTCAAATACTTTAAAAGAAATCTGATTTTTCACCTGGAGGATACATGTCTCTCCTGAAATTCACCTAAGAGAGTATAACTAATTTTTATATGTGGTCTAGAAGTAGATTCATACTTTCCTCACTTTCTAATATTGCTTACAAGCTTCTAATTCTCCGTTCAGTGTAAAATGTTGAATCCTCTGAAACTTACACTATTTGATATGTGACTGCCTACTCTCTCACTGTCATCTACCAAACTCCTCATATTTCGAACTTAGTCACTGAGGACTATGATCTCTTCCTCAAAATCTTCCTTTGCCTCCAAGTTCTACTGTGATAAGTGTTCATTCAACAGTCTTACATGACTCGTTCAAAATCCTAGGCATTGCTTCTCTAAGGGGTCTGTCGCATTTCAGAAGGAATACTCTTTTTGCTTGGGTTGTTTCATTTATTTAAGATATTAGAAATGATTGATTTGCCCCTAAATTAAAGTAGCAACCCCTCCCCATTCTTGTAAATTTTCAAAACCAATTCTGCATGTTTCTATGTGTTTCCTATTAGAGAGAGTTAGGAACTTTAGCCAATTCAGTCAATAACCACTGCTTCAATTCTTTCCCCTCCTAATTTCTGCCTCCACTTCACTTCTGCAACCTGTTATTAAGGTTAACTTTAACTTTGAATCAATAAATGTTTATTGATTACCTAAAATTCCATTACTTTTAAAAGGTTAAATTTGAATATGTTAGTCTTTTATCTTAACTTCCTAAGCTTCTAGTTCTTTTATTTGACTATTTCTACAACTGTAGTTATATTTTAAGGGACATCTACTTCTGCAGCACCAATATTTCTTCTTTCTTCTATTAACTATTTTCTAAGTCATTTAGAATCCACAGTCCATTCAACCATTCTATTGTCAACATTCTAAACTTAGCTCCAGCATCCTTTCGAGGTGAAATGCAAAACCTGCAATCTGCACTGTGTAATGAAGTAGCCCTTAGACACATGTGGTTATTTAAAATTAAATTTTAAGTAATTAAAATGAATATATTAAAAATTTTGTTCTTCTGTTACATTAGCCACATTTCAAATGCTAAAAGCTATGTGTAACTAGTAGCATATTTTTATCATTGCAAAAAGTTCTATTAGACATCCTTGGTCTGAATTATCTTTTCCAAAACTGGACTATTGAACCCCACAGAAGAAAACCACAAAATCATGCACATAGATGTCATTGTATATTTCTGTGCTCCAAACTTATCTAGACCATGAATGTTTCCCACAAAAATGAATACATTTCCTATTTTCCACTCTGCTATTTCAAATGCTCTCTACCTGACATAAACCTAACTGCACCAAATCTGCCCTCATTGTACCTGCCAGCAAACCTGCAAATTCATTCATGTGCACTTTCCTTTTCTCTTTCACTCCCTTTTCTGTAGAACTAATGTCCCACTTTCTTTTTAAAGTCAGGTCCTGCACCTATGCTGAGAATCATAACAGTAACTTTGCTCTATTAACATTCTCTTCTCTGAACATTTTCAACCTCTGTCACTAATGATTTCATTTAACATGTTGAAGTCTCTCCCTTTGGAAGAAACAATAACAACAAAGCCTTTTTAATCCCATAGCCTACTGCTAGGTCTTCTTTGACAGTTTCTTCAAATAATGCCCTATACTTACTCTGTTTACAATCTTACCTCCCATTCACTCTCAAATATATTATACTGTAGTCTCCCTTATCTGTAGGAATATAATCCAAGCCCCCCAACCCCGTGGATACTGAAAATTGTGGATGGTACAAACCTAATAAAATAGAACAATTATAACAATATACTGTAATAAAAGTAGTCTCTCTCTCTCTCTCTCTCTCTCTCTAAATATCTTATTGTACTATACTCATAATTTCATTTAAAGGAAGCACTTTATGACTTCTCTTTGGCATATCCTAATTGCCAGCATCACTGCTCTTGCACTTTGGGTTACCCGACCACAAGTAAAATAAGGGTTACTTGAACACAGGCATTGCAATACTGTGACAATTGATCTGGTAACATAGATGGCTACACAGTAACTAATAGGCAGGGAGCATACAGTGTGGATATGCTGAACAAAGGGATGATTTACATCCCAGGCAGATGGGACAAGATTTCATCATGGAACTCATCATGGTGTGAAATTCAAAATTTATGAATTATTTATTTTTGGAATTTTTCATTTAATATTTTCAGAGAGTGGTTGATGACAGGTAACTGAAACCGTGGAAAGCATAACCAAGAATAAGGAGGGAGTACTGCAATTTGCTTGCTGCCCCCTCCAAAAGTCACTGATGACCTTCTTCTGGCTGGTTCCCTGTGGGTACTCCTCAGTCTGTGTATCCAATTAAATCCTTGCAGAACTTGATATTACAGACTCCTATTTTCAAGGAATGTTTTTTATATATACCGTCTCTAATAAAACATATTCCTGGTTTTTCTCCTTTCTCTCTGGTTTCCTCAGATAGCTCTGCTTTTTTAACAACCTTTTATATATTGATATTTTCAGGAATTTCTTCTGAGTCATTGTAGCAGATGTTTGTTATATGTAGGGGGTATTCATCTTCTTTGGAAGAACATTTCTGTATTTTGGTAATTTCTCATGTTAAAATGCCTCATCTTCTCAAGATAGAAGCCTAAAAATTTATTTTCTGAGCTTCCTTTGCTATTGCAGTGAGGCATGTGACCTATGTTTTACTCATCTGATTCACTCTGGAGGTACTACAATTGGAAATTCAGTGAACATGAAGAAGCAAATGTGTGGGAAATTAGTGTCTCAATGAGTGTGATGGCTGAAGGCTCTAGCTCTTTGCTGGCTAGAGTGGCAGGACTTCTGGTGTTTATTCTCTAGTATTGTCTGTATAAACTTCAGGTCCTCTGAGAACTGGCGGAACCTGTGTGAGCTTCAATATTTCCCTAGAATTGCTCCATAATAGGTTTTAGCACTGCTCCTATCTAAGTTCAGGCCTGAAATGCTGAACCAGATTCTGTAAACTACTGAAAAGCATTCAGTAAATTTTCTGGCTTATAAACGGTGTAAGTTTTTATGTTAGAAACTGAGAACAATAATCAATACAGCCTTTATTTTCTTTCTTTCTTTCTTTCTTTCTTTCTGTCTGTCTGTCTGTCTTTCTTTCTCTCTCTTTCTCTCTCTCTCCCTCCCTCCCTCCCTTCCTTCCTTCCTTCTTTCCTTCCTTCCATCTTTCCTTCCTTTCTTTCTTTTCTTTCTTTCTGTCTGTCTGTCTGTCTTTCTTTCTCTCTCTTTCTCTCTCTCTCCCTCCCTCCCTCCCTTCCTTCCTTCCTTCTTTCCTTCCTTCCATCTTTCCTTCCTTTCTTTCTTTTCTTTCTTTCTGTCTGTCTGTCTGTCTTTCTTTCTCTCTCTTTCTCTCTCTCTCCCTCCCTCCCTCCCTTCCTTCCTTCCTTCTTTCCTTCCTTCCATCTTTCCTTCCTTTCTTTCTTTTCTTTCTTTCTTTCCCTTTCCCTTGCTTCCTTTTTTTCTCTCTGTGTGTATATCATATGTAATCTGAATCATTCCCATGACTACGATCATTATTTATATTCTAAAGACAGCTGAATCATAACCACCCAGACTGATCTCTCAAGCTTCATACCTACATATATAGAGTGCTCACTGTACTTCTCTGCTTACATTCATTCATTCAACAGTTAAGAAAGTATGTGTTTACCAGACCAGGTTCTGAAAACTCAAAGAAGAGTTAAAATCAAACCTAGTCTTGTTTTCATGAAACTTGAAGCTTAGTGGATCAGGAGACACTACCATAATTGCATAAACATATTCAAAAGTGCAACTTTGACAAGTACAGCAAACAGAGATGCATGGTGCTTTGGGTGCCTGTAAAAGAGGTGTTTGGTCTATAGAGGTCAATAAAAGCTTTTTTTTTTTCCTCGAGGAAATGGTTTTTAAAGCTGCAGCCAATAGAATGAGAAAGAGTTGAAATGGATATTGAAGAGCATTTCTGGAAAAATCAAAGCATAATATGCAGAGCCTGTTGAAGGAGGATCAAGACGCAGTTGCAGAACTAAAAAGAACTAGAGCTGGTTGGAATGGAAATGAATGGGGATATGGGGAAGGTAAAAGTAGTATATGATGCTGGAAAGTTAGGAGCCAAGCCATTAAGAAATTTATAGACCAATGTAAGTATTTGCCCTTGATTTTGAGAACAGTAGGAAGTTACTGAAAGGTTTTAAGTAGGAATATGATGGGAGGTGACAAGATCAGATTTATGTACAAGAAGCTCATTCTGGCTTCAGAGTGGAGAACAAATTTCAGTAGGGAAATAATGAAAGTAGATAGACTGATTCAGAGCCTTCTGACATTATCTAAAAAAGAGACGATAATGTTTACATAAAAGGGTCATTGGGAATGGATTAAAGATATTAAAGGAAAGCCTTACCGGCATCTCAAATTCAGTGTGTCTAAAAGAAGCATATCACCTACTGCCTGAGCCTGGCTCTTGTTCCCCTCTATCATTCTCTGAATTGCTTGGTTCAGATACTTGCACAACGTCCTTGCCTCCCCTCTATCTCTTTCCCAAACAGCCAATCTAGTATTAAATCTTTTTATTATTATTATTT